CTTAAATAAGCCGGTATGGGTGCAAGTATGGGCACCTTAGTACCCACCCCGCCCCATACCCGCACAATATATATATTTATATATATTAATTTATATTATTATATTAAAATAAATGTATCAATTTTCAAAAATACATCGATGTTAAACCATTACATATGTAACATAACTGTTTGTTTATTTCATAATTCAGCAATAAGTTTTTTGAAAACATTTAAATGTTCTTAAAAACTTAAAATGATATGATATTTTATAGTTGATTTATTTATTTTTTATTAGAAATGCGGGTAACGGGTATGTGTGTGAGTACTTACATACCCAGAGGGCACGGGTACGAGTGCTAAAGTTGTTACTCAAGCGGGTATGGACTCGGGTACGGGGATTTTTCTAACCGCGGATATGAGAATGGGTAATATAGTATCCTATCCATACCCTGCCCATTGCCATCGCTCAAGCTGGTGAATAAGTCTTCTCCATTCCCAGCTTGGATACAATTCGTTCAAAACTTGTGCTACTCAATCTTTTAGTGAGAATATCCGCAAGTTGCCCTTGTGAGGTGGTCGGATTACACTGAGGTATCTAATGATTCAGACTGCAAGTGCACAGTCTTATCGTGTAGTTTTAAAAGATATCGAACCACAGAGACTGATGAATCGAACTACCGTCTTCTATTGTTACTTTGCAAATCTAAAGCTAATGAACGTTTGATTGAGTTGTAGGGAAACTAAATACTAAATTAAGTTTAATTTTAATTATCAGTAAGCGGAACTACCAGTATGTAATGGTCAGACCTCGGGTATTTGCAACCGGTTGGGTGTCTTTGCATTTTCAAAACAACTTTCAGTAAAATCTATTTAGTTTAAAATCCCTCGTCTCACACTGTCGTTTTATTGATCTAAGTTATGCAGTTAAGTCCTAACGTACGTTTCCGCCATCCCGCAGGAGTTAAAAACACTTTTTGAAAACGAAATAGAATCTTAATTAACTTTAAAGTGCTTCCGCTGTATTTTAAGCCAATGCCTAATTACTACTGTCCAGTTGAAAGATCTCAAACTTCCGCTTTGTTGACCCTAATCTCTATCCGTTCTTTACTTTCGCAACAAAATAATTTATCGATTAAAAATAGTAACTTAGACCAGAAAAAGGTTTTGTAGTAAAAATTATCTAACTGAGTCACTCGATCCCTTGATTATGTGACCTTACATACCGGTATACGAATTCTAGCCTAGCATAATATCAGACCAAATCACAGAACAATTCCAAAGATAAAACAAAATAAACATGATTATATTAATTAAAAGCAATAACAATTCATAAAAATAACCCTGAGGATAATAATTCTGGATACGAGTACAATTACTTCTAACTCTTGACTAGAAGCACTTCTCCACAAGCTGGTAGGCTTTGCTTCGATCAGGAATAGAGACAATCGTACAGAAAACAAATGCTAGAGGAAATAGAAAATTGCAGAAAAAAAAAGCTCAAAGAAAAAATGCTTAAGGAAAATGAATTCTCAAAATATAAAAGGTCACCTCCTGGCTATGTTGTGTCCAGGGTTCTATTTATAGTACTTTGTGCGATACGTAGGTTTGAGAAAATATAGGAACACTTCGAGTTCGTTTGAGAAAAAATAGGATCACGGAGTTGGTTACATCCTTCATGTGTTGACTGAGTGGAGCTTAAAAATAGGATGGCCGTTAGATTGGTGTTTGAATTTTCCTCTTCCGTTGGATTGACTACGTGGTCAAAGAAGGAAAAGGTGGGCCTGTGACGTTCGTCAAGTCCAAGTGACATTGGTCACTTGGTCCATTATGCCTGTGACGACCGGCAGCGTGCCTTGACGATCGTCAAGGTCCTTATGCTAGTGGGCCACGTGTTCACGCCTTGTGATGGGCTTATACTTTCTTCTTCTTTTATTCTTTGGCCCTTTTGTTATTTTTGCACCCTTTTTCTTCATTTCTTCCAAAGTCTTTAACTTAACATTTATCTGCAAAATAAGCGAATACCCGCGTAATACCTATATAAAATAATACAATTAAAATAAAATAAGGGAAATAATTTATGTAAATCAAGCTAAAAATATCATATATTTGTGTTATCATGAGGACACATATGGGGTGCAAATCAGCCCACTATCAAGCTTCTTCTTAATGAATTGTCTATCAATCTCAATATGCTTAGTTCGATCATATTGAATTGAATTATGTGCTATACTGAAGCTGATTTATTATCACAGTAGAGCTTCATGGGTCCTTCCCATTTGATTTTCAAATCTTCTAAAATAATTTTGAGCCAAAGTAATTCACAAATGCCTTGTGCAATGGCTCGAAATTCAGCTTCAGCACTAGAACAGACTACTACATTTGGTTTCTTACTCCTCCAAGTCACAAGATTTCCCCCAAGAAAGGTGCAGTACCCTGTAGTGGATCTTCTATCAACAATTGAACCTGCATAATCTGCATCCGTGTAGGCCTCGAGGGTTTTATTTCCATTTCTTTTGAACAAAATTCTTCTTCCTGGAGTTCCCTTGAGATACTATAGGATTCTATGAACTGCTTGTAAATGGTTTTCTTTAGGACAGCGCATGAGCTGACTAACATACTTACATCATATGCAATATCGGGTCTAGTGTGAGACAAGTAAATTAATCTCCCAACTAGACCTTGATACATTTCTTTATCTACTGCAACATCTTCTTCTGTATTACTCAGTTTAAGATTTGGATCCATAGGAATGCTCGCAGGTTTACATGTTGTTTTTCCTGTATCTTTGAGTAAATCTGTAATGTATTTTTGTTGAGATATAATAATGCCTTTTCGTCCCATTCCATTCCATTACCAAATATCAATGGAAACAGGGAACCTTCTGAACTTTTAATGGATAAGGTTAGTTTTCTCTGAACATTTTTCAGCAGGATATTACTCCTTCTCTGTTTGTCAGCTCAGTTATCCGAATGTAATCTGCGAGTATCTAATAAAATTAACGCTACTTTCTTGAAAAAAGCCCATTATCTTCCATCTATTTTTTCTTCAACTATTTACAATGAACCATTTCAATTCCTGTTTGTAAACTATTTTTTCTTCAACTATTTATAATGAACCATTTCAATTCCTGTTAGTAATCTATAGGGACCAGACCCGGTGGAACTGTCATGCAGATTTCAATTTTATCTAACCTTTGTTGATGCCCATTCAAAGTACACTTGTATTTATCCCCTTAACTAAAAATGCCACTCTCTTTCACCTTTTACCCGGTTAAAAAATATAGCGGATGAGCGATGATGCCATTATATAGTTGTATATTATATATGGAAATACATGGTAATTGTTCATGATACAGTTCCTGATTATTGTTGTTCAAATTTTATCAACGAGTAACCCAGAAACTGTTTTTGGCATCATTTGGTATTTATTTCTTGATCTAGCGTGCTTTATATGTCATAAACTGGGTTTGGATAACTTGAATTAAGCTATTAAAAATTGCGTTGCAGGGAAATGCAGCATTTAAAGAAAAGCAATGGGATAAGGCAGTCTCTTACTATACTGAAGCTATTGAGTTGAATGGGTCAAATGCAACTTACTACTGCAACCGAGCAGCTGCTTTGTTAAAGCTAGGATGGTATGAGGTTTTTCCTGTCTGTCAACCAGTGCCCTCACATTTTAACCATTTCCCTGTGATTGTTTTTCTCACCCGGTAACTTATGCAGCTTTCAGCTAGCAGAAGAAGACTGCAGTAAGGCAATATTGCTTGATAAGAAGGTGAGAAGATGGGCATGTGACAGTGGCTATGGAACATTTATTTTCTATTATAACTTTTAATGTCTAATTATTATTTTTTAATCTCAATAACAACCGTTTCTACGAATGGAGTCTTCCTCATGTTTTGAGGTGTTACAATACACCTCCCCCCCTCAAATAAATCAAAGTGCTTTCTGCACCACGTTACCTGATAGGATCTGATTATCATTTGTATACCTTGATGTTGATTGATTTGATGATGTTTAATTCATAGATTCCTTTACTGTAGGGCTTATTTAGATTATGATACAAGCTGAATCTATTTAATATCTACCACACTAATCTGCGGTACTAAAAATAGTGTGTAATTTCCATGCAGAATGTGAAGGCATATCTGAGACGTGGAACTGCTAGAGAATCACTGCAACGGTATAAGGAGGCTCTTGAAGGTGAGCATTAAGTTTTATGTAAATGTATTTGGCTTCTGCTAGTTTTATTTATTTTTTGTACAAGCTTATATTTTTTTAGTTCCTGCAAAGTAATGAAAAATGGTTGAGGCACAAACACAACTCTCTAAGTATTAGATAATTTATCCTTTTAATGTAGTTCCTTTTTCTTTCTTTTTCTTATATATGCAGATTTCAAGCACGCACTTGTTCTTGAACCACAGAACAAGGATGCAAGCTTTGCTGAGCGCAGAGTCAAAAAATTTATCAGTTGAGTGTGCTTTTTCTCTTCTGACCTCCCTCTCTCCTAGAGGGACTCAATAACTGTTGATGTGGAGGAAACATGCGACTATGGTTCTTTTCTTACACCGACTACCTTCAAAATAAAGGTATTTTGAAAGGAAAGGAAAGGTAAACCTCTGTTGATGAGGTGCCTCACTGTTCTCATTTTGTGCATATATCCTGTAAGAAATATTATTCAACCCTATTGGATTATGCTAATAATTTTGCACCTGCATATATAAAATTTGGCCTAATCGCCCCTGTACATTTTAAAGTGATTGTCTCATCATATTTGCTTTAAATGTTGCATATAGTAAGAATAAGAATTTGTTACAACAGAAAATATTTTTCTAGAATTAGAATTGGAATATCTGTACCATTTTCTAATTTAAGAGCAACAGAGCATGCTTGAAATATAGAGTTGATAATCAAGTACAAATTATAGAGAAACATACAACATTATCGAGAGATATTACAACCTATAGCGGCATTCAAGAATCTCCAATGTTTCATTATTTTGTGATAAGAATATACCATATCATAGGATAAACTGCTTCTTATACATGTCAAACAACTCGGAGGATGATAATTGTGCCTCCTGCAAATCCCATTACAAACAATTTTGTAGCATCAACTTCATATTTAATGTAAAAATAGTTATCTATCATATGAAACTTAAGAGCGCGAGTATGAATAATACCTGTGTGATGCGTAGGCCAAGTAGTCTATTTAAAAGTGAAGCAATTGGTCCATTTAGAGTAACTATGCCTGATTTAGTCCCATAAATGGTAGAACGCATGGTACTAAGCAAGTGACCATAAGTCAACCCAGGTTCATTTTGCACTGTTTGTATGAAACTATAAGTCAATGCACCTGTAACTTCTTTGCCACTTAAGGCCTATCTATACCAAACCACATAAATAGATTCATTAATCTCTTTCTCCGTGTTTGGATTGCTGGTTTATTTACCAGCAATCCAAACATATCCTAAAACAAGAAGAAAAAAGATATAGAAAGGGAAAAATGATTACTAACAGAGGTATCTACAGAGACTTGACCATCTTCACAAGCTGAAATACAAATTGCTACCCCTCCTTTTGTGTCTTTATAATTTCTTGAACTTGTATGATTCTCCCATGTATAATACCCTTCCCTGTTAATACAAATTCAGTTCACAAGAAAGAGTATTAACACTTAACACTCTTGCTAAGTAATCATTGTTTCTAAACTGACCTGTTCATCTTGCACACAAATGATAAATCAAGAACATTCCCACTGTGACATGCATCAATAATGGCATGAAGTTTAGCACCAAATGGTAGTGGCTTAACAATTGTTGCATTAATCTCATCATTCAGTATCTTCCCCTCGAGCTCATGATCAACAGGACTAATTGCATTATTATACCTATAGCTATGGTCAATCTCATTCATGCTCACTTCCTGTGTGCCATGTCCTGAGTAATGGAACACCAGTGAATCACCTGATTTGCTACCCTCAATCAGCCACCTTAAAGCCATTTGAATGTTATGTTTTGTTGGGATTTTCAGTGGATTCCTCTCCTCCTTATCATCTACAGGTAAGTTCTCAATGTTCATATCTAGAATGAAGAGATCTTACATTGCAATATATAGTACTGATAGATCAGAAACTTGATTCATAAGAAACACAGACAAAGAGAACACTATGTTCTTATAAAGTATGAGAAAGGTGGTAGTACCTGTGAGCATGAGAATGGAGTCACTTGGAAACCCAAACTCCTTAATCAGAAAATATTTCATACACTTCACATCATTGATGGAGCCCTTAAGCCTGTAACTTCTCCCATGGTAGCAGATTCCACACAAAACTGCCCTTTTTGAACCGTAAGGAGAAGGAGGATTCAAAGGCCTTTGTGGCCGAGGCTGAAGATAATACCCGAAATTATTTGTTCCATAGTTACCTGAATTGCTGTTAATTGCTGAACTAGTTGTTATATTATTCATGAAGCCTCTAAAAAGACCTGCAATATGACTAAGAGAGTTGTAGGCTTGATTGATTGGGCCTGGGGATTGAACATGTGTGATGCCATTGCACATTGAACACTTAAAGACTTGGACTTCTAGTGGAATAAATAATAGTATTCCACAATGGTTACATCTTTGTTGCTTACTTGCCATTGTAATATTTTACTTTTCTTGTTTGAAGATATGAAGAACGGTAGAGACAATGAATGCAAAAATAAGGCTTAGAAGTTATGAATGGATTGATAAGAAACAGTTTACAAAAAGTGTACGTAAACTTCAGCTAACTCTATTTTGTTGGTGAGTCAGATGAAGAATATGATTCTGATGACTTTAGCTATAGTGGAGAGTGAATATTTTGACTTATTTGTTTTTCTGTCTGTATAAAAAATTATTATAAAGAGAAAAAAATGTAAAAACCAAAGATATGCATGCAAATTGAAAACATATAACTTGTATCCTCATGATCACAATGTGAATATTGTAGAAACATCAAATTTCTCAGATGATGATAAAAGAGGATCCTGCAATATGCATTAAGTTATTTTTACTTATATTATGAGTTCAAAGGAAGTATAATCATTAGAGCACAAGGTTAAGAAGGCATCAATAAATAAACATGGAAAATAAATAGGTAGTGATGGTTTCCAACCCGTGCAATAATTTTACTGTGGAAGATATGGTGCAAGATGCTGTTATTGCATGATCTGCTTCTGTTAATCTTTTTAATTTCCTCATGCATCTTTGCCAGTAGACCCCTATGAGTAATTCCAGCTGGATATTCTCTAATTATTGTCAAAAGATAAGTCAAAATTCCATTCATTCCCTTCCCACTAAAAACCTAAGTATGTAGGTTCGTCAAAATCAAGCAATAATGAATACAACTATGAGCACATAGACACTGACCCGAATTACTTTCAATATATCCACTTACATCCAGGAAGGATCCAATGTACATTGAATATACTCTGATAAGTACGATTTTAAAATTTGTGTTATCTGTAACAAAAAAAAATATTTGTGTTATCTAATTCAATTTTATAAAACTGATTTATAAGATAATATATACCTTCTATGTATGAACATATTTTTAAATTATATTTCATTCATGTGATAGAGAAACTTACAAATTGAGTGAAAAATCAGAATATGTGTTTTGAATGGTGTATCTCATTTGTGTCCAACTAAAGATATGCTTTTGTTCGTTATTCTTTCGAATTTAAAGAAGCAAGAACCAGGCACCCTTCACATTTAATATCTTTAGTTGCTCTAAATGTGTATTGTTTTCCTTTGATTTTACAACAATTTTTTTTCTTCTAAAGGATCTTGCATTTCAACTTGGCTTGAATCTTGGATTCAAAGAGTAACAGAAAGTTACCAAAATAGAAATCAACTTTTGTGACCTTTGCTGGCAGTGTGTCATGCTCAAAGTCGGGTGTTTGTCCGTACAAATAGAAGGATGGGTGAAATATTTATAAGACTCATATTTACATGAATTGTTCTAATTTTTACGCGACAATTATTAGTTGATTCTCTAAATCAAAAGTAGACAATACACCATGTATATGTTAGTGCAAGGTGATGAAATTGAGGAAGAAGAGAGAAAAGGAATAAATGCTAAAAGCTGCCACTAATGATTGAAGAAAATTGATTGTATTAAATGTAAACCTAGTACTCCTATTTATACACAAAATAGTAAAGATAAGAATGCCACATAGGGCCTAATGAGAATAACCAACTGTTGGCTCTTAAATTCGACACTCTTGTTTTATCAATGTCAACCATTAAAAGCTGAAAAATGCTTTCGACTGGCTAAGTCTGTCATAATGCCCGTCGAAAGATGGCAAAGTACTAAGAAGATTTCTTCCAAGGAAGAAGGCTGGTTGCCTTCGACGTCGAAGGAGTTTCTCGTCGAAGATGTCTCTTGACGAAAGTGTTCGACGGTTCAGGGTGGAGCGATTTGAAATTCAAAGCTTTTGGAGGGAAAACGGTTTCCAGCAGTTACTACGTGCAAACGTGCAAGGATCTGGGGCGTCGAGCATGGAGAACGTGCCAAGTGGATTGATCTCGAAGCAGTGTAACTGCCCGACAGTTACTTGGGATGTTTTAGTATAAATAGGAGTAGACACGTAGTTTCTCGCGTGTGTTCACAATTCTATACAAAGTCACTCATATAGATTCAAGTACCCAGTGTGTGAGAAAGAATTGTTGAGAAATGTATGTGTGAAACACCAATTTTATCAATTAAAGTCATTTACTTTTCCAGAAATTTACTTGCTTTCCTCTTTACATTCTTGTCGAACCTTTTACTTTAAAGCCTTGTTTATTTTACCAAGTCTTTCCTTTATGCAATTCATTTAAAGCCAATTTATTTAAAGCCTTATCCAATTCAATCAAACTTCAAAATCAACCTATGTCCTAGGATCAATCTGATCGATCCTGCGAGTAACCAAATAAGTAACCATTTGGAGGATCAGCGGTTGTTTACCAAAACCCAAGGTAAACAAATTGGCACACCTGGTGGGACTGTGTGTTGATTGTTGAAAATAATCTCATCTTTTCGAGTTGTATGTTATTGAGAAGTGGTAGAATATACACCAACGATAACAATACTGCCAGAAGAAGGGAAGAGATGGCGAATCCGCCAAACAATAACGAAATCCCACAAACGAGTGTGGGAGCAACGGTTAGTATGACCGTAAGTGAAGCGACAAATGTTGGTTCGACACCAGCAGTATCGGTCACAACCACGGGGCCAATACCTTCGTTAACAGGCCCCAGGATACCTTTGGGAACTCCCCCACCAAGGGGAAATTTAGGCACAAGGCCTTTGGTTCCCCCAGGATTTATTCCATTATATGGTATGCCAACTTCTGAAGTGGCAAGCCTGACGAATGCTGCGTCCACTTTTTCAGACCCTTTCGTGAGTGCCTCTTCGCCACTCCAAGGCTCTGGAGTAGGCATGGCGAATAGAAATAGGACCCAACTCTTAGGAGGAACGTCCCAAGTAGCCCATGGCCTTACAAATGCCTCGACAGCAGTCTTGAGGCAACAGATGGACGAAAGCAACCATGATATGGTGCAAATGTTGGCACAAACTTTGAGTACAGTGCTAAACCCTCTAATACAAAACACTACTCAATCGAATCAGCAAGTGACAGCACAAATGACGCGTTTGGCTGACTTCTTTGGAGTACCCCAACCTGTTCGACAGCCCCAAAGGGCGCAAATAAGGGGAAATCAGGGGATATTTTTAGAGGAAGAAACCACCATTAACCAGGCTCAACAGCCTGTCGAAGAAAACCTTAGGGCACGATTGGAACAACCTGTCGAAGAACCTAGGGTAATAGCCCCAGAGGTAAGGTTAGTTAACAGAAACCAAAATGCTGACGAAGTGGTTCAGCATATCCAATACCAAAACATGGGTTTGGAAAACAATCTGGCAACCATGATCGAACGGATCATGACTCAGAATGGGATGAACATGGGCTTTCGAAGACCCAACTTTACATCTCCATTGTCAGAATACGTGTTACAAACGGACTTACCTCCTAGATGCAAAGTCCCCAAATTTACTAAGTTCTCTGGGGACACGACAGAATCTACTGTCGAGCATGTGGCGAGATATTTGATCGAAGCGGGAGACATTTCGAATAACGAAAACCTAAGGATCAAGTACTTCCCAAGTTCTTTAACCAAGAACGCTTTTACTTGGTTTACAACTCTTCCCCCCAATTCGATCCATCATTGGACCCAGTTGGAAAGATTGTTCCATGAACAATTCTACATGGGGCAGACCAAGATAAGCCTGAAAGAACTGGCCAGTGTGAAGAGACGTTTCACTGAACCTATAGACGAATATCTGAATAGGTTTAGGTTGCTCAAGGCGAGATGTTTTACACAAGTGCCAGAACATGAGTTGGTCGAAATAGCCGCAGGCGGTTTAGATTATTCCATTAGGAAGAAGCTAGACACCCAATACCTAAGAGACATGGCCCAACTGGCCGATAGAGTTCGACAGGTAGAACGCCTCAAAGCTGAAAAAGCTAAGGCAACGAAAACTCACAAGAGAGAGAGAATAGCGTACGTTGAGATGGATGACGAAGATCTAGAATCCTTCGACGATACTTTAACTGTCGAAGAAGGAGAAGTCGATTTAGCAGAACTAAAACAAGGGCCACCATACTCTTGTAAACTATTAGTCCCCTCAAATGGGAAAAATCCCATTGGTCCAGAAAGGACCAACGATAGGTTCCCAAAAAAGACTTATAGTTTTGACATCACAAAGTGTGATGAAATATTCGACTTGCTAGTTAAAGATGGCCAAATGATAGTACCTCCAGGGGTAAAAGTGCCTCCTCTTGATCAAAGAAAGAAGAGAGGTTTTTGCAAATATCATAATTTTTTGGGCCATAAAACTTCTCAATGTTTTCTTTTCAGGAATCTTGTGCAAGACGCTATTGAGGAAGGGAGATTAAAGTTTGCAGACAAATCCCCCATGGCTATCGACTCCAATCCACTGAAGGCTAAAGCCCACTATGCTGAACCCTCTGAGGTGAACGTGATAGAGGCAACCAGGATCCAGTCGAAGAAGCCAGGAATTACCATGGTCGAAGTCTCAAAGGACCACATCAACATGCCAATTTTTGGCAGTTTTTCTGGAAATTTATCCAGGAAGACAATTGAAGCTGTCCAGAAAGCGGTCGAAAACCCGAAGTCGGAGACCGCTGAAGCACAAAAAACTGGATCAAAAGCCAGTTCCCACTTGGCCACTGTTCAAGGCCAGACGGAGAATCTGGAGGTACAAATGAAGCAGTTAACCCTTGCTAACAAAGATACAATGAATATCAACATGGTCGAACTTTCTGACCCAAAAGCATCAGAAGAGGCCATGAGGCAAGAACAGGCTAATAAGACTGCTTTCCCTCGGGAAAACGAAAACTTGGCAGATTTTTTACAAAGATGCCAGAAAAAGAAATCAGAGGTGATGCTGTGTCCAAGATGCAGTTCGATCTTTGATAAAAAAGCTGCTGAGCACATTCAAGGCGTGAGAGCAGCGAATAAGAGAAGGGAGAATGCTAACCTTCGACATGATCCCAGAATGGGTTCTAACCAAGAAAAGAGGCCATTAACTTTTAGGCCTCCAACAAATGTGC